TATATTATTATTATTTTCTTTTCTTCTAGAAAATCTCATTTACATTAAATTCCATTTCAATTCCTTACAACTTTTCCCTTTATCATCCTCAGTTTTTGACTGCTCTCTCGCTTCTGGCCCTCAGCGGCAGCTGCTTGGGTGGCTTTGCGGCCACCTACTCGGGCTTCCATCCAGGCTATGCCACCTACCAGGCGGCTCCAGCGGTGTATCATGCCGCTCCTGCTGCTGTCTACCAACAGGCAGTGGCTGCTCCAGTCTACAAGTCCTATGCCGTGCCCTCGCCCTTTGTGAAGGCCGTCGCTCCAGTTGCCACCTACGCAGCCGCTGCGCCTGTTGCCGTCCCCGCCCCCGCTCCTGCTGCCGTGGTGAAAACTGTTGCTGCCGCTCCTTTGGCGCCCGTTGTCAAGCAGGTGGAGCTGGAGTCGTCGCCTCGTTATGATTTCTCCTATGGCGTGCACGACTCCCTCACCGGCGACATCAAGAGCCAGGTGGAGAGCCGCGACGGTGGCAATGTGGTTGGCTCCTACAGCGTGCTCGATGCCGATGGCTACAAACGCACCGTCACCTACACAGCCGACGACCTGAACGGCTTCAATGCGGTGGTTCAGCGTGTGCCCCTGGTGGCTGCCCGCGCCCTGCCAGTGGCTGCCCGCGCTCTGCCCGTGGCTACCGTTGCTGCTGCACCTGTGGCTCATCTGCCCGCGCCCATCTACTACCCCCAGGCACAGCAGCAGCAGCAGCAGCAGCAGTTCTTCCAGCAGCAGCTGTTCCAGCCACAGCAGCAACAAGTCAACATCGAGCAGGAGAGCGAAGTGGTCGAGGCACCGCGTCAGCCCGAACAGGAGCCAGCACCTGTCGATTACTCGGATGTGCAACAGCAGCAGGAGCAGCAACAGCAGCAGCAACAGCAGGTTTACCCACAGGATCAGCAGTTCCCACCCTACCCATCCGCTTCGCCCGCTCCTGTTGGCGACTCGGACAGCGATGTGGTTGAGGCCCGCTCCGCCCAGGAGTCAAGCAGCACCACCGCTGCTCCAGCTGCCGCCACCGAGGAGGAGAACAAGAAGAACCAGGGCAACAAGTCCGCTTAGATTGTGATCCCATTGCATAATTCCATAAAACTTTGTTGAAATTAAAGCCGAATGTCAAAACTTCAAGTCAAATGTGTTTTTACTGTCCTTACTTCAAAGTCACAACTTTTCCCAAGTCGTAGTAATTCTTTGTCTATTACTTCAAAAGTATCTACATAATTATATTTTGTATAAGTATCAAATTTCTACAATTTCCATTTTATATTTACTGCGATTCTCGAAGAGAAACAAATTAATCAAGTGCGATTGATCTATCCAGTGACGATAATGTAAGTCAACCCAGAATTTGAATATATCACGTGATACATATAGAGTCTATAATCTAATGGGTCGATTTTCATCAAATTACAATTGTATTCTCTCATTTGACGCCCAAAAAGGCTGCTATTTTATTAAAAGACTTATGTTAGCTTTCAACGAGTGTATTTACGCTTCACATGCGCTTAATATTCAATGGAATAATGCGAATTTTAAGAACAAAAGATTTACTATAATAAATAAAAGTCCGCTCCGCACTTGCATAGGCAATTTCATTTGCGTTGCTTTTTATGCAGATTCCGCGCTTGTGGATGGTAAATGTCTTGGCTGCAAATATGTGGATTCCATTTTAGCGCACGATTACTCGTGCGGATTAAACATTAAGCAGGCACACATTTACTAACAATAAGCATATACAATATTCATATTTCGCACATATAAAATACTTAATTACTATATTAACTAAATACTGAAATTAAAAATTACATACATATATAAATTAGCGAAAAGCGCCATCTGTTTTATATCGCAGCCCTTTACCATCGATCACTTAATCGTGTGCAGTGCCATTTTGAGTTTAACAGCGTATTGTTAAAACTTAAATTAATCAGACAAATTTTTTGAAAATGTGTATAATATAATATATATAATTAACTTGTATAACAATAATAATAAATTCGCAGCCATAAACAAATTTTAAAAATTTTATAAAATATCGCTTTTCAGAATCGACTATCGCACGCTCAGCTAAAAGAATATATCGATACAGCACGCATCGCTACAAAAGTCAAGCATCTCGTTCAAACTAAACGGAACTTTACGAGCGCAAAGCAGGCATTGGAATCAATTTCCGTGTGATATTAGATATTACAGCTACAGCTTTCCTCAGTTTTATTCCGATTTTAAAAGCGTTAACGCGCACAGCATTTTGGATTTTTCAAATTTTAAGTTAAAAATTTTTTTAGTTGAAAACCATTGATGATAACTTAGCACACCCAAATTAGTGAACCATTTTTTAAAATACAGCAAAATTAAGTAAGGTAAGTGCAAAAGTG